ACGAGTAATGTGAGTATTCAGACCTCCATATTAATTAAACTGTATCTAAGTGAGAGGAAAAACAAATGTCACAAACAATCAGTAATCATGAATAAACAGTCATACGATGTATGCGTAAATGAGGGTCATTTCAACAGTAGACGAGTGCAAAAAAACACATCATAGATACAAGAATTAAAACTTTATACGCCAGCCGCGCATTTCCTTTTACAAAAGATTCAACAGTGACGCTCGATTCAAAAAATTAAAAATGCAAAATAAAGTTCGAAGATTAATTGGTATTATACTTGAATAATAAGGTTATCTTACGAAATATAATTCGTGTCGTTGTATGAAACTGGTTTTGATCAACGTCGTCCGATACCAAATTGCACACACATTCCAAGAACTAACAATCATAAGTAAACCTTTATTGATTTACATAATACAATTACTGTCCTTATGTTTGCAGATATAAAATGTAAGTTGCATCACCTTATATCGCTTTTGTTTAATTTTCAAAATTATACCTTGTTTTTACCATAGCTGTCTACCGGTATCGACTCCAGTAGGGTTTTCTGAGTTTCAGGAATGAACATCATCTTTAATTATGTCAGCCATAATGTTGAAATAGCGATGCAAAAATATTGATTTTTTTTATATTATATATACATATATATTAGTACATGTAGTAATGGTTCATATAAATGCATTTTTGCTATTGTTTATTCATTTTTTGAATTGTGATGTTTTGATTTCACCTTTTATAATGTTTGCAGGATACAATGTATGACTAAGCTCTGGAGAGAATAAAAAACAATCAAGATTTTTTAAATCGTATTACATAAAACTTCTAGTGATTTAGAAATTACAATTGTATATATCAGCATACAAAGTAGTAGGATTCATATCCAATAGTGTATGAAAATAAATAGTTTCCTTTTATTGGATATTAAATACTATAAAAATACTCTAGCTAACGGAGGCTGTTTTGCATGAACATGATTGCTATTTATACAACCACGACAAAACATAAGGAAAGTAAAATTTAACACAAAGCTACAAGGGCCACGTTGTTCAAAAACTTTAAACATGCTGTTTAACCTAGTGTAATTCTATTAAAACTACTACAGAAGTAGTTATTCAAACGAGAGGGTGTTTCTCGGCTACAATCTCATCGAAGAACGACAGCCGACAGCCCTGAGATGAGATGTATCCGAGAAACATCCTAGAGTTTGAAAGACCATTGCAAATCTCATTGCTATTTTGTCTATGGCGTCGTTGATGTTTATATTGACAGTGGCACGTGCACCCGTAGTTTCTGACAATAATTGGCTGTCTCAAGCCGGAAGAATGACATGCAAAATTATCACAATAAATGATTAAAGGAAAAATACATAAACTACATAAAAAAGTGATAATTAAGTAAAGTATATATTTTGTCCCGAGTAGGGACGGGATTTTCCGGTAGATATCTGTCTAGCTGTTCATATTATTTGTTCCATTTGTTTCCTTAATTGTCTTTTTCATGATAGGCCCACCTATAATTGCTGCCGACAACAAACAAATTCAAGATAGTTACATAGAATCATCAATTAAAATTAAAGTAAAGGTGTATAGCCCGTTGGAGATAATATGCCACAATATAACAGAAGTCGGTGGTATGTCAGTTCGACAGCAATATATTGAAGTTAGAATGGAGCATATTCTAATCAAGGAAAGTTTTCATGATGCAATTGTGACAGTTAATGGTAAAGAAATAATTTTTGTTTTAAATGGAATGAATCCTAGTGAATCTCATGAATTCAATGTCACTGTGTGCAACATATATGGACAAAGCAGCTTTATAGTAAATTCAGAACCATTTGGTAAGTTGTTAAGACAAAATTTTCATGAAATAAAAAAAAAATGGAGCAACCTGTAGTGTATCACCACTGTCCCAGGTTAGGGAATGATACCTTGTTCATACGCATCTTTCACCCCGCAACATTATGTGTGTGTCTCTCCAAATTCACAATACAAGCAAAGAAAATATGTGTGGATCTTTTAATGCAAAACTTTGTTTAAGAAAATGATGGTAAAAGGTGTACACATGATATGCATAAAAAATGTCGGGTTTACGCTAATGAGAAGCAAAAAGTAAAATAAGAAAAATACCGAACTCCAAGGAAAATTAAAAACGGAAAGTCCCTTATCAAATAGCAAAATCAAAAGTTCAAACACATCTAACGAATGGAAAACAACTGTCATATTTCTGACTTGGTACAGGCATTTCCTTATGTAGAAAATGGTGGATTAAACCTGGTTTTATAGCTAGCAGCAAACAAACGACAAGAATAATGAAAAGGCAAATATAAGGCAAAACAGATTTTACCAAAAGACATGTGTCTGTACAAAAAGTAAATCTCAAAATTACCGGTAGTCTTAAAAATGTGTAGGAACATATATGAAAGAATAAGGCTAAAAACTGAAACTTATACACTTAATGAACTAAAAACAACATTATCAAACTAACTGACTTATTGGTCTCGAAAAGTGTGAAGAAGTTATGTTTATGTTACTGCCACAATGATTCATAAGTAAAATAATTATCTAAATAATATCATGTATACTATATTTTACGGGGATGTTGTTACCCGTGCCCGGAAATTTAGATACTTAAATGTGATCCGTGTAAACTTATCGATCCTTCAAATAAACTTATTCGAAAAGTTTACCAATTGAATGCTGTAATTAGATATTTGAATATTGTTTTATAGATATAAGTATTGATTTTGGTATCAGTAAATTAAAATCAAACTAAATATTATTTTTATATACATATGCACATTCATGTCTCTACAATCTGTCGATACCTGTATCTTGTCATTGCACAAGGTCATGTTTTTCTCTGACTGTTGATGAAGTCTTTACACTTAATCCATTGGATGTGTACTGATTGATATTTTAGTCTTAGATGCATGATTTTATCATTAGTTGTTATTGGCTATGAACTAGCTGTCAGTAACTTCGAGTACTCTCAGATCTGTACTTAGTGTCATTTTTGTTGTGGGGATGTATAAATACCCTTCCATGTCCGGTCTGTGTTTTTTGTTAGATGCTTTTCTGCTTTCTATTTATCTGATGAGTTAAGGTCTTTTAACTGATTTGTATAGTTTGTTCTTATGTTGTACTGTTTTACCATTGTCCAAGGTTGGTGGGAAGAGTTTGGCACCAACAAACTAAGTAAACCCTCCACATTCTGTATTTGCCTGTCCCAAGACAGCAGCCTGTAATTCAGGAATTTGTGTTTGTTGATGTATATCATATTTATTTTTTGTTCATTATTTTGTTCATAAATCAGACCGTTAATAGTTTTCTCGTTTGAATTGATTCACATTTGTCATTTTGGGGCTATTTATAGCTGACTATGCGGTATGGGTTTTGCTCATTGTTGAATGCCGTACGGTGACCTAAAGTTGTAAACTTCTATGTCATTTCTTCTCTGGTGGAGAGTTGTCTCATTGGCAATCATACCACATCTTCTTATTTTCATATATGGCTGGTACTATTATCTTTATTAACTAAATACAGTCACAAAGTGATATCTGTTAAAAACGTGACACTCACTCTGCTTCACAACCATATGCTTCTCATTTCGGGACAAAATAAGTTTTAAAGTGTTAACCACTACGGTATTATAAGAAACATAAAATTGAGAATGGAAATGGGGAATGTGTCAAGGAGACAACAACCCGACCAAAGAGCAGAAAACAGCCGAAGGCCACCATTGGGTCTAGTTTGCTACTGACCCCGACGGATCCATAGAAGGTTAGTAGCGAACCGTATAAAGAATGTATCGAACACGGGACTATTTCTGACAAGTTTTGTATGAAAATAAACAATGAAATACAATAATAATAGTAGTACACGTGATGTGTTGATAAGTTGCAATAATGTCTAATTTTGTAGACTTTTGTAGATTTGCTGAATAAAACAGTATTTAGTTCTAGATCATTGGCTGTATATATCAACTCTTTTTTATTCTGTGTGAAACTTGTAGATTTGGGTAAACCTTGCCATTCCCCATTGTATAGCCTTATACATATAAATCGATACTTTACATACATTAACCAAATCGCATAGTAAATGAAGAAACATAATAAATGGAGGCCTACGAATATTATATAATGCATATAATTTTTTCAGTAATTTTTGTACATTGTGATTCTATTCATGTTTAACGCCGCCATAGTCTTTATGTGTCTATCCCAAGTCAGGAGCCTGTAGTTCATTGGTTTTCGTTGGTTCATATCTGTCGTATATGTTTTTCGTAAATTGTTTTGTTATAAACAAGGCCGTTAGTTTTCTCGAATGAATTGTTTCATATTTTTCGTGTCGGGGTCTTTTATAGACGGTATGTACTTGTCTCATTGCTGAACCCGTACGGTTGCCTATGATTTCTTACATGCTCTTAATACGAACTTTGGTGGATAGTTGTCTCATTAGCAATCATATCACATATCCAATTTTTTTTTTTTTTTTCATAATGTACCTCGAAAGACAGTTCGAATGCAGTATTCGATCTTCCATATATATTATAAGTTTAGAACATGTTGTTTTTTAGAACATGTATTTTTCAAATTATAGTTTAGAACATGTTTGATATATATATTAAGTTTAGAACATGTTGTTTTTTAGAACATGTATTTTTCTAATTATAGTCGATTGTATCTAAGTAAACTTGCAGAGCCTTGTAACTATCTTTTTGTTGGATTTATAGGATACTTAATTTGGTTTCAAATAAAAAAAATATTGGGTTTCGATTACAGATTTCAAAATTGGTTCTTTTGAGGTTTTCATATGATTTTAAGTTTTGTGTGCACAAAACGTAAACATATACATACGCCCTTTATTATGTATTCTGTTAATATATGCGACATTAGTATATGGATATGTTTTACAAAATTCGAGTAATTTAAATAGACATCATTTAAAATACTAAAAAGAAAAATAAAAGTTTGGTTTTTTCCAGGGTCAAGAGAGAATTCAAAACGAACAGCTCCACAGACAGCAATCATTGTATTGTCAGTAACTTTGACATTGCTACTCGTACCACTTTTTATTAAATGTGTTTGTAAGTATAAACAAAACTATATATCTAGTACATGTAGCTCTATTGTTGAAGCGAGTTGTTTCCTTGAGATTTTTGGATTTTGCAATTTTGACATGAAATCAAAGCGACAGAGCATACATCATTTGTATATCAAAGAAAGAAACAAAATGCATGTTAGCTATTAATCACCTCTCCTTTCTATATAACATAATGCATATGTGTATTTTCTTATATGTTCTATACATTTATCAGAATTAATTATATAACAGAATATGTCTTTTGTAGTTTTCATGAAAGACAGAAACAATGACGTGTAAGTAGTAATATATGTTAATTTATAAAAAATATGTTTGTACATTCGGTCGTATATACTGCTTGGATCAGTGCTCGCCTCTATTCAAATCTGTCATGAAATGTAAGGAGAACTGTTTTGGAACAATCTCTAGAACAGTTCTCATAACACCTTTAGAACAGTTTCTGACAGATGATGTTTTACCCTGTGTTTATCTTATTATTATTCCGCATTCAAAAAACTATAAGATTTCTTATATAACAGTACTATCTAAGCTTATAATACGGAATATAATGACAATGACAGTTTTAACAACGCCTGAAAATACGTTTGCATATAATCGATTATATCTGATAACCAAGTTTTTAAGATTAATGCTTTATTTTAAAACATATCCGAACTTAAACATTTTATATATACGACTTGCAGAATATGATATGTATTGAAATATATATTAAATGCACATTACCAGTGTAACAAATATCGTTTTCTATTTATAAAAAGGTCTTAATGATAATATCATGGGAATTGGTAATATATCAAGAACAAATTATGTTAACATTTTGGATATAGTTTCTAAAACTGTTCGTAAAAACCGTTCTCATGGGCGTAGACAAAATCGCAATCAAAGAAAATTTCGGACCAACCATACAAATATCTCGGACCTAATTTCTATTTCAAAAAACAACGGCAGACATTATCTATTAACCAGGCTCTGTTCTTTACCTATAAATAAATTAAATAAAATTTTAGAGGATTGCAACACAATTTCATATTGCAGTCCTAAGTATGAATTCGTTAAAATTATAATGGAATATTGTTATTCTAAACTGTTTCCCAAAATTGATCGCCTTGAAGATCATAAAAAACATTTTATTAAAATAAAGTAATGTCAATAAAGGTTTTGATTTTGTAAATACTGCCGGTATTTTTAACGACCATTCTGTTAAAGAACAAATTCCTGGATATTTTGATAATACTGAACTCCCTCTTATTTGTTAAATTTACAAGAAATCTACCCGGAAATTTGTGTTTAATTATAGCCAAGCCTGTAAAGATGTAAATATCAGTGAAAATACACCTACGTCATGTAATTGTAGTAATTCCGAATACACTTATTGCCCCATTTCCCATGTTATAACAGGAGACCTTAACATCGTTCGCGACCGAGAGTTAAAATCATTCCTCAGTAAAGGACCTAAATATCGTCCCCCGTCAATTATTAATTGGAATGAGTGTCGTAATATCATCCCCGACTCACTTCGTGCTCACTGTTTGAAATGGATAAAACGGGAAAAAGCTGACAAAAAAGACTCTTTTTTTATTTCAGTAATGAAGATAGTTGATATACGTATACAACATTTTAAAGAACATTTTACTCTTAACAAAAACCATAAAAATCCTATTTCTCGTATCAAACATAAACTAAAAGAACTGGCCAAGGAATTTGTTTTTGTCCCGGCTGATAAAGCTGCTAATATTATCATTATAGTTTGACGTATATTTTACATTGAGGTTCTGCAAAAGGAAATCACGAATTCACCAACATTCCAACTGACTTCATTTTCAGAAAAGGATATCTGTAACAAACATAAACTATTAGCTACTTCTTTACAAGCAGAACCAAATACAATGACAGTCCCAACATATATACTGGATTCCGAAGCTACACAAATCACTTTACAAATATAGATTTATTTCGTCTTCAAGTCATTGTTCCACTACTAAATTGTCTATTCTACTTACTAGTACACTTGGTACAATCAAAAACCTGATAATAAATTGTTCAAATAAGGCCTTTGAAAATAGTGGAATTAATTACTTTTGAGTGTCAAAAACTCGTTGGAAGTACTTGATAAATTGCATGCATATATTGGTGATTTTGAATCTGTTCAAAGTTTTGATTTTTCTACCCTATATACCACTTTGTCTCATATTCTTATTAAGAAAAAATTCACATACCTAACTAAATGGGCATTTAAAAAGTCGGAATGCGAATACATATGTTCAAACTCTTTTAGGTCATTTTTTAGTAGCAACAAACAAAAGAACTATGTCAATTGGACATGCTTTGATACTATATCTGCTCTTGAATCTTTACTTGATAACATTTTTGTTCGCTTTGGAGATTCCGTATATCGTCAAGTTATCGGAATTTCAATGGGGACTAACTGTGCACCACTTATTGCGGACCTGTTTTTGTATTGTTATGAGTTACAATTTATGACTAAAATCAGCAAAGATCCATCAAAACAACATCTGATACAAAAATTAAACAATACTTTTAGATATTTGGATGATATAGTGGCTCTCAATAATGACGACTTCAGTATGTATACTAAAGAAATTTATCCTGTTGAACTTACTTTAAATAAAGCTAATACTAACAATGCCCACTGTACTTTCCTCGATCTTGATATCTATATCATTAACGGGAAGCTTAATACAAAAATTGATGATAACAGAGATGATTTTTCATTTCCTATCGTTAATTATCCATTTTTAGATGGTGACTTTCCCTTGTCACAAAGCACAAAAATGTCAGTATTTACCTCAAAAGCTAACAAAACCTTTAAACAGACTTATTAAAAAGGGATATAGTTACGATACTGTTGTCAGGTCATTAAAGATTGCATATTTTGGCTTTAATATTGATTCACTTATAGGGTCTTTACATCGGAATTAAACACATCTATTCTAAAACCAGTTGTTGGCATGACACGGGTTATGTTCTTCTCATATATTTTAAGACGGTATAATAATAAACCCCTAACAGGAGTGATTGTGACTGATATTCATATGATGAAGACATAATCTTTCAATCAGTTTAATTGAGGTTTGGAGCTGGCATGTCAGTAACTGCTAGTAGTCTGTTCTTATTTGTGTATTATTGTCATTTTGTTTATTTTCTTTTGTTTCCTATTCTGACATCGGACTCGGACTTCTCTTATACTGAGTTTACTGTGCGTACTGTTGTGCGTTTGTTTTTTCTACACTGGCTAGAGGTATTGGGGAGGGTAGAGATCTCAAAAAACATGTTTAACCCCGCCGCATTTTTGCGCCTGTCCCAAGTCAGGAGCCTCTGGCCTTTGTCAGTCTGGTATCATTTTTAATTTTAGTTTCCTGTGTATAATTTGGAGTTTAGTATGACGTCCATTATCACTGAACTAGTATACATATTTCTTTAGGGGCCAGCTGAAGGGCCAGCCGGGTGCGGGAGTTTCTCGCTGCATTGAAGACCTATTGGTGGTTTCAGCTGTTGTCTGCTCTATGGTCGTGTTGTTGTCTCTTTGACACATTCCCCATTTCCATACTCAATTTTATAGATCACGTCGAAATTTGTATTACAAGCCAAGTTTTATGCGTACTTAATTACAAAAGTATGTCATCTGTATTGTTTATATCAAGAAAGAAAGACATTTAAAAATATTTTATAAATCGATGTAGAGCGGTCCTGGTTACAAGTTAACTTAGTGTTGAGCAGACCAACCAAAATTAAATGGAGTTCAGGTATGGTTCGATCGGAGTTGTCAACATCAAAGTTAACTTATTACAGGACTGGTTTCGAAGTTAACTTTTAATAGTAGCGGACATGTATAAAGTTTTTGGCAATTATTAAAACAGTCTTACGACCAAGTCCGCTTTTCAAGGTTAGGACTTCACCCATCTGTATATGCAAACTGAAACTCATCAAATGAAGGGATTAATTACATTCTTATTAAGAAAACAGATTAGCAGTTGTTAGACGATAGAATTTTTAATAAAAGTACATATTGTTTTTTGTAACTTTGTTATAATACACGAAGATAAACAGATGTTCAAATGTTAAGGCAAATTTAACTTTTTCGATTTGATCGGCTGAATAAAACGAATCTTACGCTCGAATTCTTCCAAATAAAATTGACCAAATTTACACAACATATTTTGTCGTTTAATTTTAAAGCTTCATATGTAACTCATGAAAAAAAAATAACTATACACGTTAAATGTATGTGACGTTGAGGAACATACAATCAATCTTTAAACGTATGCGTTATTGTATTTTAGAACTGTTGAAGAGGAGAGCGAAGTTGTAGAAGGTGTGTTATTATAGAGAAGTAATTTCAAAATAATACAAAATTCAATGAATAGACAGAAAAAGAAAAAAGCAATTTCAACCAAATCAAAAATCCGTAAAAAAACACAATAAAATCAAATCAAACACAAACAGCAAAAATATTAAAAAATAAACGAGAGTAACAAATCCTTTATTTATCACGATCTTTAGTAACGGAGCTTTTAAAAATGTAACTTATAGTTGCAAGTCGGAAAACTATTTTAACAGGTAAAAAAGGTAATCAATATGTCTTTGATTTATATTGTTTAATCTTTTCATGGTGTTTATATTTGAATGTTTTGCCATCGTATTATCGCTTGCCATCCGAACAAGTTTACTTCCGATATATTTAAAATCTGAATAGTTCAAAGCCATGCGTACAGTTCGTTGATTCGTCATGTTTTACCGCTGATATTTTCCGGGGTAAATTTTAATGGTATGTGATACATATGCCCGTGTTAAATCAACACGACAGTGTTTGTTTCTTTTACAAGTGGATATCATTTATTGTACTTTTGATGTAATTTATTACTTTTAAAATAATGTGAGAATAAATCTCAAGATCGACTTGTAAAGTAATCAACATTTTTATCCTACTTTGAAACATTTAAGGGCAGTCAGAATCAGTTGAAAATGTTTTATACCAATCAAGATATGTTCAGAATAATGAATCCAGCGTTTCACAGACACCACAACAGCAATTGATGGATGACATCACATTAACAGGTACAAACAATGTGGCTATGACAACACAATGACACAATCTGTGTTATTATAATTTAGTAGATGAGTTACAGTTATCAGTGAAATAAAATGTTATTTTTGTGTTTAGAAGTTTTGAATTGCAATTTCTGAAATTTGAAAAAATAGCCATTCATTTGCAGAAATGTAACTGTCTATCACAATTTGTTCCCTTATTTTAAGTTTATTATATTAGGGTTGTTTTCATAGAATATATTTTACGTTTTCTATGAACCTTAAAACTCTTTTTGACACAGTGGGTATACATATTTTCTACATATATAATTGTTATAATGAACCATGTTCTGCATTCTTACATAAAGGATGGTAGACCTAAATTAAGAGACGTAACTAATACAAATTAGTAGTACGTTTTATCTAACTTGTTCACAAACATTGCTTTAGCTTTTTAATGACAAATATTATCACTTCTGGTTCACATGTGTGTTAAAAAGCTGTTCACCGACTACGTGTTGCGAATTTAAAGACTTTTCTCCCTATAAACCAAGTATGTCCCAGTGAGCTATTGTGATGTTGATGTGTGGTTTATTGGAATCGAGATTTTTTATCATGTTAAGTCAACACAATTAATGCAAAGAACAAACCATAGTCGTGAAATAATAAGATAATGTTATTATTACAAGTGCGACATTTTTTTTTTATTTAATTAACAAAAATTTTCTACATTATCACCATTATTTATGAAACACAGCTAACAAACCGCAATAACTATGATCGGTTGTCAGTATTTGTGGGTAATAATATCAACACTACAACGGCGAATTCGTGTCTTTAAAAATGTAGATTTCTTTAAATCGTTTGAACAAATATTCAAATCGATTTGTTAAGTTTAAACAAATGTGTAAACGATCTTTAAAATCGTTTGTATATCTTTTAAAATCGTTTATACATATATTTTTATATCATTTCAACAACTTGATAAACTGTTCGTACGAACAGTTTAATCTTTTGAATATTTTAAATAAAAATTGCATGATCACCCATCGCTCATCTCGCTCAAGTGGCTTACATCGTAACTGTGATGTTTAGTTTAAGAAAAACGGCAAGTTAAGAAGTCAAACATTTACAAATTGCAATTTGTGGCTACGAATAAGTTAATCAATATTGCTGTTTGAAATCAAAAAAGAAAAGAATCGTATCTCGAAATAATTGCCTTCCCAATTTTCTGTTGCCAAAATCTAGCAAATGGTAAAAGTTCCATAACACCTTTTAAAATGTTCAAATCAAAATGGTGGTACATTGTGGTTAACTACACATAATGGCAAACAATAGTACCAAGTATTAGAGCTTTCTGTCATCTGGTCTTTAAAGAGTTTCGTTCACAATGTGTTGTTGTCAACGTACTTGAGAAAAATAGGCTAAGTCCCATAACTCTCATAAAAAATGATGGATCAAACTGCCAGTATAATTTGATCATTACAAATGGTGGTAAACAATAGTACCAAATATGAGAGTTTTCTGTAAATTGGTCTCAGAGGAGCTGCCTTCACAAGGTTCTGTTACCAAACTCAAGCAAATGGTTCAAGTCCCATAACACTATTTGAAATGTTCAAATCAAAATGACGGTACATTGTGGTAAACTACACATAATGGCAAATAATAGTACCAAGTATTAGAGATTTCTGTCATCTGGTCTCAGAAGAGTTGCGTTCACAATGTGTTGTTTTCATCGTACTTGAAAAAAAAGGCTTAATCCCATAACTCTCATAAACAAGAGGCTCTCAAGAGCCTGAATCGCTCACCTGCATTTCAGAGGAGAAGATTTCTATATGTTAGCAAACTTGATGAACAAATTGTGTAAAATTGTCTTTAAAGGGCAATAACTCCTTAAGGGGTCAATTGACAATTTTGGTCATTTAACTTTTTTGTGGATCTTAATTTGCTGAACATTATTGCTACTTACAGTTAATATATATCTATAATAATATTCAAAATAATAACAAAAAACTGCAAAATTTTGTTAAAACTACCAATTTGGTGGCAGCACACCAACAATGGGTTGTTCGATTTGTCTGAAAATTTCAGAGCTGATAGATCTTGACCAACTGAACAATTTTACTCATGTCAGATTTGCTCTAAAAGCTTTAGTTTTTGAGATATAAGCCAAAAACTGCATTTGACCCTTATGTTCTATTTTTAGCCATGGCGGCAATGTTTGTCGATGGATACAAACTTCGGATACACTTTATAAACAAGATACCCTAAGGAACATTTAGTTAAAGTTTGAAGGTAATTGGCCTAGTAGTTTCAGAGGAGAAGATTTTTAAATGTTAGCAAACTTGATGAACAAATTGTGTAAAATTGTCTTTAAAGGGCAATAACTCCTTAAGGGGTCAATTGACAATTATGGTCATATCAACTTTTTTGTAGATCTTACTTTGCTGAACATTATTGCTGCTTACAGTTTATATATATCTATAATAATATTCAAAATAATAACAAAATAATAACAAAAAACTGCAAAATTTTGTTAAAACCACCAATTCAGTGGCAGCAACCCAAAAATGGGTTGTTTGATTCGTCTGAAAATTTTAGAGCTGATAGATCTTGACCAACTGAACAATTTTACCTCATGTCAGATTTGCTCTAAAAGCTTTAGTTTTTGAGATATAAGCCAAAAACTGCATTTGACCCCTATGTTCTATGTTTAGCCATGGCGACCATGTTTGTCAATGGATCAAAACTTCGGATACAATTTATAAACTAGATACCCTAAGGAACATTTACTTAAAGTTTGAAGGTATTTGGCCCAGTTGTTTCAGAGAAGAAGATTTTTGAAATAGTTTACGACGACAGACGACGGTAGACGACGACGACAGACGACGACAGACGACAGACGACGACGACAGACGACGGACGACGACGGACGCAAAGTGATGGCATAAGCTCAAATGGGGCCCTTCGGGCCCCGGTGAGCTATAAATGATGGATCAAACTGCCAGTATAATATGATCAATTACACATTGTGGCACATAATAGTACCAAATATTAGAGCTTTCTGTTAATCTGACTCAGAGAAGTTGCGTTCACAAGGTGTCGAGGTTACAATACTAAACTAAAAGTAAATGGTCAAAGTCCCTTACAACCGTAAAAAATGTTGGAGGGAAGGACAGACGGACGGAATTGAATGGAATCATTACCTTATCCACCGCGATCCGACGCGCGGAGGCCAATAATATCAGATTTTATCAGAAATGATTTTCAAACGTTCCTTCGATAAATCACATTTTGATTATGACGCGCGGAATACAAAATATGCTTCGTTTAACGCATTTATCATTTTTACATCCAAATAAAATTTCAAAAAGACCTTTTTTAATTTTTAATACTAATTGTTACATTTAACATTTTATCGACTTAATGGGAGAATTTATCCGTCAAATTGACAAAATCCTCATTTCTGTTGGCTTTTAATGATAAATTATATTCGAGACTTAAATGTATCTGAATGACAAGAAAACAGCCACGATATTAATCTTAGTTATTTTTACAGGGCCTGACACAAGAATGTACAACCAACAACAAAACCAAGAGTTAACGGTAATATTTACTTCATAATTGTAGAATTTATATCTATGTAATGTTCATGGTCAACGGTAACATTTCTTTCATTGTTTTTAAAATTTTATCTACATTATTTTTCTTATTTATGTTGTGTGCTATTTTATGAGAAAGTGCAGTATACAAATGTGTTAGGAACCCTCCTAAGTGCCGAATATGTTATAGCAATATAATCAATATGTATTTTATGTATATTCAGGACGAGATCAAATTAAAAATAATAAGTAAAGAAACGACACAGTAGATCGATTGGACGAAAGGAGGGAATTCTGCATAAAAATATGTCAAACAAAATGCCACTTACGAACCCATAAAAATTGTTTTACAAGGGTTTTAAAATGAAACTTTCTTAACAAGAAATATCGAATTCAACGTCCTCAATCCAAACATATGTGTCTGCATGTTTATCATTCAGCATTCATACCTGTCTGCATGCATAATGCATAATGCAGCAATACACAAGTGCAATTTTAAACTTTTGTTCAATAACCCTGACATTCAGGAGCACCGGATTATTGTATTGGTGATATGTTTTGAAGTAATTTCACAGATGTATTTGCTCATTCTCTGGAATTAAGTACATATTAAATAGTATGGAGGGATATAATATCGAATTATTTTGATATTTCTATAATACAACGGCAGTCATTTAAAAAAAAATTATTATTTATGTTTGTGTTCATTTTTGTTTATGAAAAATGAAGCTAATAAAACAGCGAATGCGTACAGTATACCCACACAGTTGACTTGGGTTTAAACATATGGTCGTCTGGATTTTTTTCGTCTGCCGGTACCAAAACATGCTAAAAAGGGGCGTCCATTTGGCGGTTTGATCTGTATAGATACGTAGTCACGTCTGATCTGATTTTGGACGTTGAAACGGATTTCTCACATATGGCGACAGTCATGCTCTCTTTGTATGAAAGAGAAGGAACCCTTTCTGATACTTTTTATGGGTCCGTAGGTGGTCTGTTTCAAGGCAACATTATTTAATCCCTATACAGCATAAAAGCATACTTTACTACATGTATCTGAATATTTGTGGTTTGAGAATAAGAAAAAAATATTTTTCATTGCAGGATGGCCAGCTTAACTATGCAGATGTAGTGTTTCAACCTTCCTCATCTACAAATGAAGTGCGCATACTCGGTTTAGAAGACAGAATACACTACGCAGATGTGGACGTTTCAGCACTTACTGCATTCCTTCCTAATATCAGCAGCCTAAGAAATAGTACCGATAATGGCAGCGAAAGAAGCAGCAGTGAAGACGACTTTGTATATGTTGACCAAATTCAAAACTACATGCCAAATCGAACTACAAATATCTAGGAATTTCGCTTATAACTGGTTGTGAATTGGATGATTTAAACTGATTTCTTCTTCAGTCGTCTTGTCTCTGTGATGTTCTCTCCAATTTGATAAAGCTGGAAATCAATGGAAATTGATATGACAAAAACCTTTTAAAATTACATTTGTACAATGTGTGAAGTGATGAAAATATAAACAACTTATGTCTAACATGTATGTTTAATATGCTTCTATTCTGTTTTAACATTTAAATAATAAGTGAAATCATGAAATGTGTACAGTGATGCACAAATATATTTCAGTCATGTACAGTTTATGAATACTGAAAAAGTAAATTACTTTTCTACTTAACATTTGGTTTTTTTTTGTCAATTCTACGTTCTACATACGAATTTTAAGTTTATTTTTTAACATGTTTAATAAACACAAACCGCACGGGCTATTCAAATAATTATTTAGAAACCAATAAATTCTTTAAAGAATGCATGCTGATAATCAGATAACATTGCAAATGCGTCATCCAAATTTACTTTTAATAGATTCTATACAATATGAAAATATTTTTCTTTATGGAATAGACCGTAAACTTGTTGGGTAGACATATCTGTTTTAAAACATAACGAACAGTAGTATTACCAACTATCCGATGGTCAATTAGTGAAACCACTACTCGTCCATTATCATTTCTACTCAAATATTACGGAAATAGGGAACATCATTTTTAGATCAATTATTAAAGGCAACAGAAGTAAACCGCTGTTCAATAGTCATAAATCGATCAAGCGAAAACAAATCCGGGTTATAAACTAAAACCGAGGGAAACACATCAACTATCAGAGGAAAATAACGGAACAACAGAAACACTGAACTGCAACAAAAACAAACGCCAACATACATAGAAACGGAATACTTAATTAACGACATACCTTTTCGCACACATACGATGCCTGTGGTTAATATGAGTATAACAGCAACAATAGTAATCACTATAATGAATAGCAGAAATGACTCTTTACCTGAAATTGAAAAAAAAATAGTGAATGTCAATCTAAGTAGTTTGTGAAATTAACGTTGGTTCTTCGGGGTTTCAAATCGATCACAGATTTTCATTTCAAATACAGGGCCTCGGTGGCCAATTGATCTTAGTAGTTTAACTACTGTATCACTAGCCTGTCAACACCGAGGGTGTGAGTTCAAGTCCCGAACGGGGCAGTTGCGCTCGACTCTAAACTTAAATGACAATGATTGTCAGTTTTCCTGCCGAAGGTCGGTGGTTTTCTTCGGGCACTCCAGCTTCCCCAACCAATACAACCTGACCGACACATGATATTCAACAGTAATGAAAAACACCAAATAAATAATCAATCAATAAATTTCGAACACATAGGAAAATATGCTAAGTACTGGACACTAACAAAGAACCCAGATTAAAGGCAAATTAGACTTCAACAAGTCATAAATTGGATGCTTTATAGTTTTAAAAATACAAATTGAAAAAAAAAGAATACAACAAATACTACAGTAACATTGAGTTATATTGTGCAGATATAAAACACTGGTTACCAAGCTAGTAAGCACTTTCAGCATAGAAGTGCTCGATGTTTTGTGTAACTGTTGATTTTTGAGATAAAATAAAATATGGACATGATAGAGTACGCTTTTGAGACCAACAGTACAATTCAAACAAACAAAAAAGACTTATAGGGTTGAATATGAGGTCTGAATTTAAATACGGTAAATATAGAAATAATTGCTTGCATTTAGTATAATTGTGATTTTTTAAGAATGGACTAAAATGCAAGATTTATTATTTCGACATAAAAAAAAGCTTCATACATATATATGCGTTAGATATTATAATGCGAGTTCTTAGAGGACATTTGCGGAAACTATCATACACCTACGATTACACTTACAGGTAGCATTTAAATCTTTGGTCATTTCAAAGTGTAAAGTTAAACCGTCGTTCCAAAACAAATATAAATAAGAAGATGTGGTATGAGTGTCAATGAGACAACTATCCATCCATGTCACAATGTGTAAAAAAGTAAACAAGTATAGGTTAAAGTACGGCCTTCAACACGCAGTCTTGATTCACACCGAAAAGCAAGCTATAAAGAGCCCCAAAATGACTAGTGTAAAACAATTCAAACAGGAAAACCAACGGTCTAATCTATATAAAAAAAAACGAGAAACGAGAAACACTTATGAATCACACCAACAAAAGACAACCACTGAACAACAGGCTCCTGACTTAGGACAGGTGCATAAAACTACAGCAGGTTTAAACGTTTTAACAGGCGCCAACGTTCACCCTAACCTGAAATAGTGGTGTAACATTACAACATAAAACGACACACAATGAAATATCAATTGAAATGGCTTAAGTCGATCAAAAAGACAAACACAAAAAGAAGTAAATATACACCGAACGAATAAGTTTGATCTATGACACAATATAAATAAAAAAGATGTATCAATGTAAAAAAAAAACCTTTAACCTAGGACAAAACGGCGCAAACATCGAACGAATGGAAAACAACTGTCATATTCTGACTTGGTAAAGGCATTATCTTATGTAGAAAATGGTGGATTAAACCTGGTTTTAAAGCTAGCTAAACCCATCACGTGTATGACAGTCGCATACAATTCTATTATATTGACAACAATGTGTGAACAAAACAAACAGACATAATAGGTAAAATGTCAAAAATAAGGGTACAGTAGTCAACATTGTGTTATACTAGTCTAGTAATCTCAAACACTATATAAACAAACAAATATTTCAACAAAGAAAAAAAATGGCATTTAGACAAAGCACATACGCAAAAATGAAACACAAGAATACTAAAAATGACCACAGCACAATAACACAACGGCGGGATGTACAAGTACCGAGCCACGCATAAAGGACATTACCAAAAATGGACCAAACAGTATACGTTTATAATTTACAAAGACACATAAAATAACACTATAACACGTAATTAAGATGATAAACAACGTCAACACCTAGAATCTTTTCATCAAAACCATCATGTATTATTTGTGAAGTTGATACGGAATATTTTTTTTAAAAAGGTCTTGGTATCTTCCGATGAACGTTTTTAGAAAAAGGACGAGACGTTCTTTGACATAACCCTGGTTCATCAACTTTCTGCTCAGACACTGGTGACGTTTTACGAAGTCTGAGAAGAAACTGCAAGCTCCTGAATACCGAATGAGTTAGAAAATGTATATCCAATATTCAGGTGAAGTTGGTATATTGCTACTAAATAATTATCAAAGGTGGTAAAATAGTAAGACGAGATATAACACAAAATAAGTAATTATTGAATAACAGAAATGCATTTCAAATTGTGTCAACAGGTCAAATTTATACGAGTCCAATTCCTATGATATTTTTTTCTTGTTGATCAACGGGTTTTTTAAGAATATATATGTATACACTAACTTGTGTACATGGTGTTATCCAGGTGAAACATTCTGTAAATGTACGATGTATGATACAACATTTAATGAATTGTATATGAGACATGCAAAAACAATTCGCAAATGTTGTTGCAGTGGCTAAGGTGGGACACAGTAATTATTTTCAGCCAGTCTTAGTGTTAAGAAAGCGATGATCATTTAAGGAGCATGTTGACAATATTCAATATGTATGCTTAGTAAAAAAAATGACAATGGGTTCAAAGTTGTTTGTTTTTGTGCAATTTTCATAGAGATCTCGGGATTTAATTCAGAATGGACGTTTTCTTCCACGGTGTCGATAATTTTCTTCCATGAACATGGGTGGGTCTGGTATGCTGATCTATCACAAATAGTTCCTATCAAACTGACTCAGCAGAACACTTAACAATTGGTGGCGCATCCTGCGCCGTTGCCGCCAGAAAAGCAACACTATATCTCGCTTTCTGCGACTTTCGTCGCCGTTGAGACAAATATCACACACTATTTAAGTCGGTTCGGGAACAGTTGCGATACAAAACAATTATCGGGTAAAAGAGGGACGACACCCGACATTGATAGTTCAAAAGCAATACGCTGCGGCTGGTTTAATAATTACATTGTGTAACTTGCTTATCGCATTTTCTCGTCATTACCAATTGTTCCGTTTGTAGAGTATTCATTGAACGAGATTTCCTGATTTTGCTACTTAAATAAGGTAAATAAGGTAAATAAAGGCAACAGTAGCATACCTGTTTTTAAAAGTCATAAATCGATTGAGAGAAAAACAAATGCGGGTTACAAACCAAAACCGAGGGAAACACATCAACTATAAAAGGAAAACAAAGGAACATCAGGAACACCGAAGTGCAACAAACACAAACGCCAACACACATAGAAACGAACTATTTGATAACAACTGCCATATTCCTGACCTGGTACAGGATATTTTAAGAAAAAATGGAAGGTTGAACCTGGTTTCATGGCATGCCAAACAATGTTAAAAAAATATCGCTAAAAACACTACGTGACAGAAATACAATATATATCGTTAATGATGGGTGTACAAAACACCGAGACACGCCGCACAGCAATGCAAATTCACATTCAGTATGACAGTCATATTCGGGAATATGACAATGATGGTATTAAAAGGCAATTTTATAATTACAACAAACGATACGACATAACACATTATTCAACCGAAACCATAACAAAAACATGAAAAATAAATACATGAATGTTGGATGTACAAAATACCGAAGAACGTCGTATAGCAAAGTAAATTCAATCTCGTATAAGTCATAATCAGGAAACGTTTGGTACTTAGCAGACAGACGACATAGATGTTAAACCACAATCTAAGACATGCTAAAAATGTTATTAGTTAGTTTACATCTTATAGATCAACCAATTCGTGATGGTGTCCATAAAATTTACGGAGTGTCATTTTTAATCTTTCCTCCTCATAACTCTGTTGGAGCAGTTTCTGCGTAAGAAGCACACTCCTGTATATGAAGTCAGTATAGTGTGAACATGCACGAGCATAACGTATCAATTGAGATATGTACGCATCATACCACAGAGCAGAGGGTATGTTACTGCAGAGAAATGGGAAATTGATAATTGGGAAGTTGAAATCATCCCGTTTGTCATAGATTTTAGTGTGAAATCGTCCATCTGTGTCATTATTGAGGAAACGATTAAGGTATGAAGCAGTCCTTCTTGTATGAGTAATATCCTTAATTTCATGTTCACTGGGATATAAGAGAAGCAAGTACTGACTGAAATATGGGTTATTCAGTGATAGACATCATCAATATATCTGAAAGTAAAATTAAAGACCTTTGCAAGGTGCTTTTTCTTTTTGTCTTTTAGAAGGTTTTTAATGAATTCTGATTCATACGAGTACAAAAAGGGGTGCACAATTAGTACTCATTGGAATACCGACTGTCTGTTGAGATATAAATCCTCCAAACTCAACAAATATATTGTCGATTAAAAAGTCCAGCATTTTGATAATATCATCTTCACTGTATTTTCTGATAGAATATGTGTGGTTCTTCATAAAATAAGAATTATTATAACCCAAAACAAGAAATTCATATCTACGATTCCCATTTTTATAGAAAAAGCTCTGTTTAATGAGATGTTGAAGTAGATTTTTCAATTGAGCATGGGGAATAGTAGTGTAAAGCGTAGAAAAATCAAAGGTCTTAATGTTGCTGCAATATTGCAGTGATTGTGATCTGCGATTTAGCAGTAGATCTTTAGAATTTTTTAGAATCCACATCTATTTGACACTTCTGGTTGAATATATTTCATCACAATATTTTTGAAGGCCATCTTTTACTGTAGAAAGAATAGTAGTCAACACTTTAGAAAGATGTTTAGTTGAACATCTTGATGATTCAGCTATGTATCGTTCTTTATACGGAGTTTTATGAAGTTTTGGTATCCAGTATAATAACGGTAGATTTTCTTCGTTTTTTTTTTATGTTAATACCAAATGAAAGAAGGACAAATTTGTGATTTTGTAAAATTTCATCCTTTGTAAATGATGTTAAAGAATATGTAGGATTACCAGTTGTGCTGTTTATTCAAAGCTCTTCTGTGAGGCATTGCAAATAATGGTTTTTACATACGAAGACAATATTATTGGAGGCTTTATCTGCTGGAACAACGACATATTTGTCATGCAAAGAGGATAAAGCATCCACAACCTCCGGGTTCTTGAATAGATTAGAAACCCTTGTGCACATAGTACATCGTAGTTTCTGAAAGCGCTTCTAAATGCATGGTCGAATAGCTTTGATCCACTCAGACAAAGTGTCCAGTTCTGGTTCGTCTGGTTCGCGCTTTACCCATTTTCTAGCATAGTCCTCAACTGCATCTAGTTCTTTTTCCAGTTGATTGGCAGGGGAATTTCTGTATTTTGGTCCCTTGGCTAACAACCTTCTTAGTTGTTCATTGGTAACGATGCCAAGGTCGCCAGTAATAATATGACCAGCTGGACTATAATTGTATTTTGACGATGCACATGAGCAATCTGGAGGTTTGGATTTTACATCTTTGAGGTTAAAGGCCTCTAAAACCCTCTTATGCATGATATTATGGTTGAAAATCTTGGATGCAATTGTATTGGTGTAAGTATTTTTGTACAGATTTCTGGGGGGAAATATTGCTAATATTGATAGCATCTTAACTTTTATTGGCGAATTCTACTTTAAAAAAATTACGTTTTTCCTCATTTTTGGAAGTAGTTGTTACGGGTTCGAATAGTCTATGGTTAGCAATGTCCATGATTATTGAAACTAATTTATACAAAACGGAATTAGAATCAATGACGGAAGTATTTTGGGCCTCTTGAAATAGTAAATAAAGTTTAGATAATGGAATGGAGTATAATTTAGTTCTGATATGGTGAATGCCTAAAGGTTTTTAAACAGACGATAACAGGCTATCAATTGTCACGGTGTGAACAGCAGTTGGTGTATAATTTTTGTGACCATGACTTCTATTTCGTCGAGCGGAAGTGTTAAATAATTGTAATTTATTGACAGTACTACACCTTGGACTAGACAAAATACCTCCAACATCAATTTTGTTATTGCATCCATAGGGAATGGCTGTTCCCAACTCTCTTATCTAAAAGTCTTCTCTTTGTAGACGATATGGTGTACTCAATATGGGGTAATTTGTTGAATGATATATTTTCTCTATAATCCGGACTCTCATTGAAACAATAGAATGGTCAGGCTGATTAAAATGTTTATAGAGAAATTTGTTGTTATTAGGATCATTAACATTAGACCGATTGTCATTCGTTCTAAAATTGAGTCTTTGTCGAGTTTCCCCGACGTAGATCAGTCCACAAAGAGCACATTCAAAGCCATACACAATATTGGAAGCAGTACAATTTAAATCATCATGACTATGCGTATTGTAACTTTTGGTAGTCAAGTTACTTTGAAAGTGGGTATCAGATATAAGTATATCACAGGTTTTACAATTTTTACGGTTACATTTTGAAATAGAGCAATGTTGTAAGCTATCATTGAAATCTAAAATATCTGAAGGTTGAACAGTACATGGCCGAATATAAACAAACTTGTCTGAATTTTTATAGTACAATCAGGAATCAGGAGACAAACATTAGGAACCATAACATAAAAAGAAGTACCCTGTTTATCGGAGAAGCATATGAATCGCTGCTTTTTTTGGTGAGCGACAACCTATATCCGAACAGACAGTATTGACACCTTATACAAAACAACATATTGTTCAAAATTCCCAGAATATTTATCTATGAAGTTTAAAAAAACCCAAAAAGAATTATTAAACACTACACAGAAGGGGTTAAGAGGTTGAATGCGCCATCGGAGAATTAAAGTTGATACAAGGTTATGGGGACTTTGTGGCAACATTAAGGACAGCCATTCAAAACTGATGTGACCATATGCACTCTATCAGTGTGTCTCCGAAAAGACTTATTTACATCATAAATATATATATATATGTTTCACTTTGTATCTCTAATGTACTTTTTCTATTTTGAGATGACCCTTTATTTTTCGCCAACCATAATCGTAAGTCTAAGTGTAATCCTAGGTATAGACCTAGTTTCCGCAAATGTCTATTATTGCAATACTCACCGAGTCGCATTATTCGCATTAATAAAGACCGCGCAATATTTTCTGTATTTACAGTACGAGAAATTATGGGCTCATCGGATATGAAATATGCTATGCAGCTTTAAAGCTCAGAGTAATTTGTTGCGTTTCGTTTACAATCAATTGCGATTGTAATACTTTCACTGTGTACATACATATTTTGAAAATCTTATTGATACACGCATAACTGCGGAAAAACAATTTTAATTTGTGTTTTATATTGACGATGAGGGTGAGGTAAAGAACGGGGACGATCTGGTTTTGCCATTTTTGTAAGAACATTGTTTTTAGTCAAATGGAATTGTTAACTCACCCTTTTTTCTTTCTTTTTTTCTTTGAAAACCTCAGACATGTCAGACGTTTCTATTTCAAATGTGGTTGGATTTAATCGTTACATAGACAATATTCTTTGTTTATATCTTATATATTCAAACTAACTTTGAATAATAGGAACAAATCCCCCTGCTTATTTTCCCAAGATAACTGATAATACGATCTTTCCTCATTTAATTTGAATAAAAAGGTACATTGTAAAAGTTAAACAAGCTTTCTACTAGGGATTTTCAATTTTTGGTTCAAGAGCAGCACTTACAAAAGACATCTGATTGAAATGCACATACGGTGTGATGTATTAGATCATTTTGCTCAGGTTTCGTATTAAGTAAATGTCAGATTAACATTTATTAAACATCGAAACATATAGTAAGTGTGTTATTTCCTTAAGAGCATGCAATTGAAAAACCCTTAGACTAAATGAAACGTAAAAAGATGTGGCTGTGATGGTTTTGCTTCTTTAGCTTTAATGTTTGAGGCTATTCTTTATTTACCCCGACTTGAACTTAAGAACGATTTTTATCGATTGAACATATGTTTATTTACATTTACCTTCAGCAGAAGAACACATTTTGTGATCAACAACTGTCAGAACTGTTTTTCCTACTGTGCATAAGACTTTAAGTGAATCTGTACATGCCTTCTCTGATCTTGAGTAGATAAATGCTAAGGATGACTGATAAAACAAATCATTTTTTCCCACAGTAACAGACAAAAATGATGATAAGTTTTGTATCTGAAAGGAGAACACATCTCAAATATAATGTATGTTGCATTTTTGGACATTTGTTTCACTTAAAACTTGTTTTGAAAATGATGCTTACATTAACGTTATTCAAGACTCTGTAAGGTAGTTGTCACATAATAACATCTCACCTATATTGATATTCATTAAAACAGTTTATCGATCTATGTATATACTACGCAGGTCCGTTGGGACCTTTACAAATACACTAAATATATAGTGTGCACAAATCCCAAATAATGCAATGTAGTTTGCCAAATTATTAACCGCCTTTTGATTTTAGTACTTTTTGTACATCAGGATTGGTTGTTTTTCATAAAATATGATGAATTTCAGGGAAAAGATACTAAAATATTGTTCGCATTGCTTAAAAATGCAAATATTTCTTCTTTTATATGAGAAATAATGCAACGTCAGTTGCAATCAGTCATTATCAATGGCTTTAGATAAGTAATTTTGTATAAAATGTGAATAATATAAGGACAAAGATACTTAAACGTTTGTTTTAGTTGAATAAGAATGTATTTATTTCTTTATTTTAATGGAAATCATGAACCGCCATTGGAATTTAGAACTTTTTGTACATCAGGATGGGTCGGGTTTTTTTTCAAATAGTGATATATATCAGAGAAAAGATAATAAAATTGTATTTGTATTGTTTAAATATGCCAATATTTCTTTAGACCACTTAAGTTTTTTCAACTTGGCAATGATAGTAACGATACAAGTGAAATAAAGCCGAATGTAACGTTTAAAAACTACAGCTTAAAAACTACAGCTTATAGGATGTGTGTAGTAAATAGATGGAAACCTCGTGTTTTAGTTATCATATATGTAACAAAAACCAAAAAATATTAATTGAAGTGATACACTGAATATAAAAACATATGAATTTTTTTGTAATTTTAATGTTATCGATATTATTGAACCAATGCATGTATCTATACTACAGTACTTGCAACATTAGGCGTTACTGTTTAACGGGAACTTGACTGATCAGTGAATGATCGGTGATGGATGTTTGACTAATCGATGAATAATCGATGATCGATGACCCAAAGAATCCGTCAGATACGTTAAATAACCTATGTGAGAGTAACCGTGACAACGGTCAGCGATCGATCAGTGAATTAAATATATGCACGGGGGACGATGCATGCATTATATGTATTACTCAATTATTGGTTTCTTATTTTGTTTGCCAAATAAATTACATAAGTGCAGAACATTGTCATGTTACGAATGTTTCTGTATAGCTAAAAAGAGATAATATGTTATCATTTGAAATAAGTACCCTATTTAGCAATTGTGCATTTTAATGTTACGAGATGATGAAAATGAAAATTATATTACAGTAAAGATATGTAAAGCTTTGTTTGGGTTGATTGAGAGTGCAATTATTTCTTTATTTTAATGGAAATCATGATCCGCTATTCGAATTTATAAATTTTGTACATCAGGATAGGTTGGGTTTTTTTTACAAATAATGATAGCTTTTTATCCCAAATAATGCAATGCAATTTACCAAATTATTAACCGCCTTTTGATTTGAGTACTTTTTGTACATCACGATTGGTTGTTTTTCATAAAATATGCTGAATTTCAGGGAAAAGATACTAAAATATTGTTCGCATTGCTTAAAAATGCAAATATTTCTTCTTTTATATCAGAAATAATGCAACGTCAGTTGCAATCAGTCATTATCAATGTCTTTAGATAAGTAATTTTGTATAAAATGTGAATAATATAAGGACAAAGATACTTAAACTTTTGTTTGAGTTGAATAAGAATGTATTTATTTCTTTATTTTAATGGAAATCAAGAACCGCCATTGGAATTTAGAACTTTGTGTACATCAGGATGGGTCGGTTTTTTTTCAAATAGTGATATATATCAGAGAAAAGATAATAAAATTGTATTTGCATTGTTTAAATATGCCAATATTTCTTTAGACCACTTAAGTATTCTCAACTTGGCAATGATTGTAACGATACAAGTGAAATAAAGCCGGATGTAACGTTTACAAACTACAGCTTATAGGATGTGTGTAGTAAATAGATGGAAACCTCGTGTTTTAGTTATCATATATGTAACAAAAACCAAAAAATATTAATTGAAGTGATACACTGAATATAAAAACATGTATGTTTTTGTAGTTTCAATGTTATCGATATTATTGAACCAATGCATGTATCTATACTACAGTACTTGCAACATTAGGCGTTACTGTTTAACGGGAACTTGACTGATCGGTGAATGATCGGTAATGGATGTTTGACTAATCGATGAATAATCGATGATCGATGACCCAAAGAATCCGTCAGATACGTTAAATAACCTATGTGAGAGTAACCGTGACAACGGTCAGCGATCGATCAGTGAATTAATTATATGCACGGATCGGTCGGATGCATGCATTATATGTATTACTTAATCATTGGTTTCTTATTTTGTCTGCCAAATAAATTACATAAGTGCAGAACAATGTCATGTTCCGAATGTTTCTGTATAGCTAAAAAGAGATAATATGTTATCATTTGAAATAAGTACCCTATTTAGCAATTATGCATTTTAATGTCACGAGATGACGAAAATATAAATAATATAACAGTAAAGATATGTAAAGCATTGTTTGGGTTGATTAATAGTGCAATTATTTCTTTATTTTAATGGAAATCATGAACCGCTATTGGAATTTATAAATTTTTGTACATCAGGATAGGTTGTTTCTTTTTTACAAGTAATGATAGCTTTTTATCCCAAATAATGCAATGTAATTTGCCAAATTATTAACCGCCTTTTGATTTTAGTACTTTTTGTACATCAGGATTGGTTGTTTTTCATAAAATATGCTGAATTTCAGGGGAAAGATACTAAAATATTGTTTGCATTGCTTAAAAACGCAAATATTTCTTCTTTTATATGAGAAATAATGCAACGTCAGTTGCAATCAGTCATTATCAATGTCTTTAGATAAGTAATTTTGTATAAAATGTGAATGATATAAGGACAACGTTACTTAAACTTTTGTTTGAGTTGAATAAGAATGTATTTATTTCTTTATTTTAATGGAAATCAAGAACCGCCATTGGAATTAAGAACTTTTTGTGCATCAGGATGGGTTGGGTTTTTTTTTTTTTCAAATAGTGATATATATCAGAGAAAAGATAATAAAATTGTATTTGTATTGTTTAAATATGCCAATATTTCTTCTTTTTATCAAAAATAATACACTGTTGTTGGCAATCAGTTATTTTGAATGCCATTGAATAAATACTTTTTATAAAATGTTAATAGTTTAAGGATAAATATGCATACACTTTTGTTTTTGTTGAATAAGAATGCAATTATGTCTTTATTTTAATGAAAATTATTGACCGCCATTTGATTTTTGATAATATTGTACATCAGGATGGGTTGTTTTTGATAAAATTCAATGAATATTAGAGGAAAGATACTAAACTGTTGTTCGCATTGTTTTTTATTACCAATATTTCTTCTGTCTATAAAAAATAATGCAATGTTATTTGTAATAAATTATTTAGAAGGCCTCAAAATAAGTTATTTTTAATCCCGTATGCTCATTTTTATATTTATTACGAGTCTATATCGTATTATCGATGTATAATGTGTCATTCAGCGATTGTTGATCGCAAGCAAATTATCCTTCGACTTTGTTTTCGAAGTTTACCGGATCGTGACATTGATAAACAATCAACACAGAGCACGTGACAAATAAGTAAATTGATAGATCGTTGATTTTTTTTTATATGTTTTCCATGCGTGCCAATTTGTTAATTAATTTTTTCCTTAACAGTTGTTCAATGATGGATTGTATAAAGTTTGTTCTATAAAAATCAGTTATTACTATTTATCTTACAGTGCACTTTTGTTTACATTCTTTCATCACGGTTTTCTTCTCGCACTTGCGCTGAGCGGTTACCGAGTTTTAACTAGAGTTCTCGTAGTTAAGGTCACTAAATACGGGAAAATATCGGTGAATTAGTGTAAGGGAGGACAAAAATTCAATGTCAGTACATTTATGAAGATTTTGATAAAACAAAAGATTTTCTTTACAAGTAAGTTCACGTACACTTGTTTTATAGTAAAACGTAAATATTTAACATGTTCAAGTATATTAAACATATTCAATTTTTTCGGGAAATTTAAAGTTTCATATGACTTTAATAATATAAAGTTGGTTGATTGTTTCCCATTTTTATCGTATTTGAAACCTTGTTAGCAGATTTAAATCAAATTCGTCAGAAACGGTGCTGATCCTTTCAATATGTAGGTGATTTTGATATGTGAAAGGGTTGAACAGCTGAGCAGAATCTCTATTACTGAAACCTTACGTATATGTATTATTACTTGTTTATAGTAGTGAAGATATGACGTGTTTATCTTTGACTGAGCATATCAGTTTTCAAAGCAAAAAAAAAAACGATTTTGTTCTGCATTTGACCAAATCATTTGCAAGAAAACCCATTTTAAAACCATATGTTATACTGACACACAAAAGATATAATTTTAAACCTGGTACCTTTTGTTAGCTATTATTCGTATGTTTCTCTGTCCTATATGTTCTCCCATTTATTTGTATTGTAGTCCTGTCATGTAATGTTGTCATTTTAATGTTATATTTAACATTGCCATAAAAGCGGGAGGTTTGGCTAGCCACAAAACCAGGTTCAACCCACCATTTTTTTCTTACAATGTCCTGTACCAATTCAGGCAAATGGCCATTGTTATATTATAGTTCGCTTCTGTGTGTGTTACATTTTAATGTTGTGTTTCTGTTGTGTCGTAGTTCTCCTCTTATATTTTAATGTGTTTCCCTCAATTTTAGTTTGTAACCCGGATTTGTTTTTTCTCAATCGATTTATGAATTTCGAACAGCGGTATACTACTGTTGCCTTTATTTAAACTGCAAGTTTCATAAAAGATTTTATTGAAAATTTTCTTTTTTATTATGATACAGACAACATTTT